AGGTTATCCCTATACTGCTTGCAGCAAGGCACTGGGCCCCATCCCGGATTCTGTACACTGGTTCCAGAATTGGGTTATTTGCTGGCGTTGAGTAGCCGGATAGGTTATCCCTATACTGCTTGCAGCAAGGCACTGGGCCCCATCCCGGATTCTGTACACTGGTTCCAGAATTGGGTTATTTGCTGGCGTTGAGTAGCCGGATAGGTTATCCCTATACTGCTTGCAGCAAGGCACTGGGCCCCATCCCGGATTCTGTACACTGGTTCCAGAATTGGGTTATTTGCTGGCGTTGAGTAGCCAGATAGGTTACCCCTTTACTGCTTGCAGCAAGGCACTTGGGCCGATCCCGGATTCTGTACACTGGTTCCAGAATTGGGTTATTTGCTGGCGTTGAGTAGCCGGATAGGTTATCCCTTTACTGCTTGCAGCAAGGCACTTGGTCCCATCCTGGAGTCTGTACACTGCTTCCAGAATCAGGCTATTTGCTGCCCGTATAGGATAACCCTTTACCGCTTGCAGCAAGGCACTGGGTCCCTTTCTGGATTCTGTACACTGCTTTGTTTGAAACACTTACAGGATCAGAGTTTACATTCATGCCACTTTGCTCCTAAAACTGACTGCTGTATTAATAGTCTTCAACTTACAACCGCTCCTTCAGCGACTTATTCTCCATGGCATTGAAAATAGTGACTTATGATCACACAACATACCCGGGGTCACACGATGAAAATTCAGGCGCTTGGCAACTGACATGTACAGCTAGTCCTTGACTTACCACACTTCGTTTACTGACTGTCGAAGTTTACAATGGCACTGGAAAAAGTGACTTATGACTGTTTTCACACAACTGTTGCCACATCCCCATGGTCACATGACCGAAATTCAGATGCTTGGCAGCTGACTCATAGTTATGTCTTGGGGGGGGGGGGGTCACGCGATCCCCTTTTGTGTCCTTCTGACAAAGTCAGTGGGGAAGTCAAACTCGCTTAACAACTGAGTGGCTATCGGGACAACTGCAGTGATTCCCTTAACAACTGTGGCAAGAAAGGTCGTAAAGTGGAGCAAAGCTTACTTAACTGTCTCGCTTAGCAACAGAAACTTGGGGCTCAACTCTTGAGTTGAGGATTACCTGTATTTATGTTTTCAGCCACCTGGGGTGGTGAGATCGCTACCTTCCATATACTGTCAGGCCCGTCCCAGCTGGGTCCCTAGGAAAGAAAGACCCTCAACTCCATTTGGTTGAAGTGATAGATTCTTTTACTAAGGATTACTGGTCACTCTAGAACTAAAGTTCCCACCCAAAGGTTACAAACATTTTGCCTTCATCACAGCCCTCCCCTCACCCCACCCCCCCTTTAACAAGTTCGTCGTAGACCAATGGTGTGCCGCATGCGTGTTTTGGGAAACGCTCAGAGGTTTGGTGCAATTCACATTTGCTTTCCCAGGTTTCAAGGCCTTGAAAACTGGAATGGGCTGGTTTCTCACCCCTGTGGTATCCATCAAACCGCCCACCTTCCCCGTTTCTCCTCCCTACTCCATACAGGTTCTGACCTAGACTTCTCCAGCAGCACGAAGCTGCCCTCATCCCGATAAACCCCTTTTGTTTAATTGACAGTGAATTCCTCTCCAGCAAAGCCTGTCCTCTCCCACAGTCTTCCAAGATAGTTCCCAATTACCGACCTTTATCAGGCTTGGAGAGTGGCCAGGCCGATATCTTTCAGATGCCCCAATACTTGGCAAGGAGTCTC